GCAAAGCTCGGTGGGTCCAAGGTAGGTCCAAGGACCGACTTATATCAGATGCAGCTGGCAATCACCGAGTCCGCTGATGAGGGCCCACCGTTCCGTCCAGCTACACCTACGACGTCGTAGACGTGCTCTGCAGGAGAAACGGTGCGGTGTGGTTGTCGGGGCGCAAAATCTCTTCGTAGGTGAGCACTGGGAGGAGGGGGTAGAGCTAGTAGGTGGGGTGAGATGGTAATGGTATGGGGGCGAGAGGTGAGCGTAAAATGGTATGAAGAAAGCAGAAAACTAGAGTCGGAGAGTCGGTGTGCAGTACATCTGCGAAGAGAAGGAGCGCGCTCCCTCCCTGGCTGTACCTCGCCATTGACGATAGAGGGATCGATAGGCCGGGGGCAAAATGCACGGAACGAAAGATGAGCGAACGTACGCTTCAGATCCTCCTTACCCAGCGGATCGCCAGTGCCCAAGTCAAAGTCGGTCGGCGGCTCATCGTCGAGGATCGTTTGGTAAGGCCGTGGGTCAGTAAGGCGTGGGGGATAGATAGAGCGGACGGCCCGCGTGATAGGCAGGGGAGAGGAACGGAGGGCCGCCTCCCTCGAAGCCCGCCGGGACACACGGAACAGCGGCACCGGTGCGCTGTCGCCCAACGCTCATACAGCACCTGTGGCTTCTCCTTCTGTGTCGACGAAAGCTCCAGGAGTCGACACAAGAAAAGAGAGGCATGCTCGCGCGCACGCACAAAGATGAGGAGTGCGAGCACACCGCGTCCGTGCGTCGCACGCCGGACGCAGATGGAAATCCTGAGCATGCAGTAGTCGGAACACAACATACGATCCATCCCGTTTCCCCAGACGACAAGCACCCTCCGCTGCGTGGACCGTGGGCGCCGTGGATTAGTACAAGATGGATTGTACAAGGTGGATTGAGATGGAATGAAATTTGTTTGTGTGCGCTGTTATGCACGCCCGGCGGGTACAGGCGCGGAGAACGGGGGGCAGGGGGGAGACATGACGATAACTCGGCACTACGCGTGCGCACCCACTTCGTCCCGTCGCCTGCACCGGTGCGATCGCTTAACGGTCAGGGCACGGAACCATATCTGTTGGCCGCGCCAAGTTTGTTGAAGACATAATCCTGACCCTTTGTGAAAACTGGAGAGTCGGTCGTGGGAAAGCGTCGATAGGCGATTGCCAGAATCAGTGGGTCTCGAAGTCGCAGAAGAGGAACGTAATTCATGCGATATCAGGACTACGAGCGAGCTTGTCGAAATGATGGCTGACATTCGTCAAACGGCGACATAAGTAGTCTCTCTTGACAGGCTCTTCACTCGTAACCTAGTTCTGAAATGGCGACACAGACAGGCGAAAGGAAAGCCATCAAGCATTGGCTGAAGTTGCGCAGACAGGCTGAGGGATAGGACACGAAATTGCCCACGGAGGCGCTTCTACAATGATTATTGGCGTCTTTTGTAGGTCAATTCTCCCAGCCATTGCGGCGGGAACGGCCATTAGTAGCGGAATTAGCCAGCGAGACACGCAGCCGATGAGTCGTCGAACGAATCATTGGAGCTGTGCAAACATCGAGTCGGCAATTTGCGGGTTCCAGTCTTTGGCCTTTTCCAAGCTTCGACAAGGGCGGGTACACCTGGGTACAATTCCAGATAACGCCAGCATGGTGCACAATGGGCCCAGCAGAGAATCGTAGAAAAAGCACGAGAGGCAAGGACAAAAAACGAGATCAAAGACGATTTGAAACTTCCGAGTGTCAAATCGACGTTTCCAGGCTGGCAGCTGAGTCACGTGCATATCTTCCGTTTTGTCGGGGTGTCTGGGTGGCAAAATCGCTCGTCTTTCTTCCTTTCCCCCCATCTTCCGACCCTCAAAGTCGCACTCAAATCGCTCAAAATTCGCAATGGCTCGTACCAAGGTCTGTAACCATGCTCACAGCTCATCTAAAGCACTTTACTGACCCTTATCTGCCAGCAAACTGCTCGCAAATCTACTGGAGGCTCGTCGTCGTCGTCACCGATAACCATCGATCATTTTCTGACCTTTTCTTTCTTTTTGTTTCTTCCAGGAAAGGCTCCTCGTAAACAGCTCGCCACCAAGGCAGCTCGCAAGACCGCCCAGGTATATCATCGTCGCCTCGTCGTCGTCGGCGGCGCATCACTCACGTGATCCCGCTCTTTCAGCCCGGCGCAACTGGCGGTGTCAAGAAGCCCCACAGGTTCCGGCCCGGTACCGTCGCGCTCCGTGAAATTCGTCGCTACCAGAAGTCCACCGAGCTCCTCATCCGCAAGCTCCCCTTCCAGCGCCTCGTCCGTGAAATCGCACAGGATTTCAAGGTAACATATTTTTATTCCATTTATTATTTCAAGATCTAATTCTCGACCAGACGGATCTCCGCTTCCAGTCATCCGCCGTCATGGCGCTTCAGGAGGCTGCCGAGGCTGTGAGTAGAGCCGCCGGTCTTACTGACTTGTAATTTCCTGACGTTGTTAATGCAGTACCTCGTCTCGCTCTTCGAGGACACCAACTTGGCCGCCATCCACGCCAAGCGTGTCACCATGTCAGTATTCCCTTCGCCGTTGTCGCACTGATACTCACCGACTCGTATCTATAGCCAACCTAAAGACCTCGCTCTCGCGCGCCGTCTGCGTGGCGAGCGCTCTTAGATTCCCTTCTCGCTTGTTAGCTGTACATAGTCTACTTGCTCCCATCTACTAGTTCTGTCGCCTCGTGTGCCATGTATTACTGTATATGTTATTTATGACCACTATGCCCATGGCCCATGCTAACTTACCTTGGCGGTCTCATAGAAAATGAAATAGGCGAACTGCAATCCTTACGCTCGTCTTCTCTGTTCGCTACCGAGCCTCGTTCAAGGCTGCGCGCGCTGCGCACTGTCCTGTGTCCTGGATGTTGTTGTCCGTAAAAGGAAGTTGATTTCCCTTTTCTGGCTGCGCAGACGTCAAGTGGAAGTTAACGACGCGCAATAAAATAGACTACTTGCTTCGGCCAAAATCGAAAATATTTTCGCCTGCGGACGAACTAGACGAAGCGTACGTTCCCCCAAATCGCCCTCCGGATGAATTGTAGATGTACTATAAATTCAAACTGGAAATATTGTACAATCATTTTACACATTCAAGGCAACGGCTCTCTACTACTGGACAGTCGATTTAAATGGATGTAAACATCCGTCCCATACCCCTCCATCGCAATCAACCTCAGATCACCTCCAAAATACCGCGCATACAGACGCGATAACGGGAGCCCATACCCAAAGCCCGCCATCGGCGCCCTAAAATCACTCGCATGGAAATCCTGGTCGATCCCCTGCCCCTCCATCGTCGTGTACATGTACGTCCAAATGAGCGGGATGGCGCTCCTCGGAATACCCCCGCCCTCGTCCGAGATCTTGATTGTAATGTCCTCCTTGCCCTCGACGACGACGACCTTGATAGGCGGGAACGCGTCCTCGTTCTCCACGCCGTACCGCTCTACAATGGCGCGTAGCGAGTTTTTCAGAAGCTCGAAGCAGATGTGCGAGAGATGCCCCGGGACGTAGGGGAAGGAAAGGTCCTTCGGGCAGATGAGCTGCACCGGCGGGCACTTGAACATCGCGTAGTGCTCCTCGCACACGAAGCGGGCGTTGTCAATCGCCTCTTCAACGATGTCGTGGATGTTCTGCGCGCGGCGTTAGAAGATTTGAAACGAAAAGAGAAAAAAAGGGCGACGGACCGCCTTGGTGCAGATAATCCCCACATAGTCCGGATGGGCCTGCTGCGTGTTTAGCGCAATATCTGTTCTGCCGTTAGTTGGGTGCTCGGAAAGCAAGAGGTGTTTGCATACGCTGGCCTATCAGAAAGCGGATCCCTATCCGCGACAGGTAGAACCGGTCCAGCCACGCCTGGATGTCCAGGCCGATCGTACTTGTCCTTTGGCTCTTCTTCCACTCTAGAACACCCTGCGCGACTGTGGTCACGGTAGGGTCGTGCCGGCTCTTGATGGTCTCGAGCGTCTTGGTGAAACGCCTGTTATAGTGCTGCACCTCCGGAGGGAACTCCACATCCTGCGTGTTGGCGTAGTACCTGCATGGGCGTCTAAACATGGATAACACGGAATGCTACGCACACGCACCGTCGCTCCATCGGCACCCGCAGCTTTAGTTTATTGAATCCAGTCCCGTTTGCGCCGTTTCCGGGTGTGAAACCGATACCTTGCATTGAAGGGTTCGGGATCGACTCTGGCAGCGCGGTTTCATCTGACCGCATCATGAGCGCCTGCCGAATGTCTGGCGGCAAAGTAATGGGAGGGAAAGATATTAACTCCTGTGTCTTATGAGCATGGCCCACCAGTCACACGAGTAGCAGCAACACACCTCGAACGACTGCGCATACCAATTCTTCACCTTGTTGATAGAAGGCATTGCACTGAGGTTATGAGGAAGCTCATCGAGCTCCTTTACTCGATGTGCAAGCCGGACAGGCAATTCCTCTGCGGAACGGGGTTATTGCCGACCTGAGTCATACCGAAGAGGGGAAACACCTACCAGCGAGGAATTGGCTCGCTTTCAGTAAGGTTCCCTGGCTTGGGTTCTGGCCAAAGAGCACCATTTGCTGCAGCGAAACTATGCAAGTCTTGTGAGTCGTGAGTGAGTCGAGGGCCACATTGCGAGCTTACCACCGGTCTGGGGGAAAGACGCAAAGTGGTGGATGCGATCCCATAAGGCGGAGGTGATTCTGAATCCAGCCGACATGGTGGAGGTTGAAAATTGAGGAGTACTTCAACGGAGCATAAGTAGGATGATGATCGACCGGAAACGGAAACGGGAGACGGAAATATCACATGTCGTATTTGGTTATGCTTGCCTCATCGATCACCGTATTCTCACGGTTGGCGAGTGCAGCCAGAGAGGTGGTTGAAAATCAACAACGCCTTGCATTGCGGGGCAAAATGGGTATGGTACAGAAGTAAAATATCGACGAGACTTGCGCGCAAAACAACTGCCCCCCGTGAGGGTCGAACTCACGACCTCCAGATTAGAGAGCCCAAGACCCCTCACAAACAATATGAGACTGGCGCTCTAACCAACTGAGCCAGGGAGGCGCAATGATTGATGGCTGACAGAAAAGTAGTACTAGCTAATCTCCCTTTTCTAACTCACCGGTTGGTTCAAATTTTTCGGTTGGTTCAAATTTTGGGAGCCACCAATTTCTTTTTGGCTGAAAATGGCTGCTGTGACACCATTCAGGTTCTTGAAATATCTCCAGCAAGTATTTACGCACCATAAGCTGCACGCCGTTCCCGTCGCGTCGGGACTACGGGTCCGTCGGAAGAGGTCGGACGGATATCCGTCCCGTTCCGTGGGGCTCTTCGACGGGTACGGGACCCGTCGAATACGATGTAGTTAGGTTGAGGTGGCCTGTGCCGTACAAATGGAGCATTTATACCCAAGGTCCAGAAGATATTGATAGGCAAAACGACGGCCGCCCGTTCAGGACCCATCGACGGGATGGCGGGCAGCCTGCTCCATAGGTTCTCTTCAGCAGAATGTCGATGTTGACATAACATGACAAGGAGTGTCGACAGTGTCTGTAAACCTCGCTTGAGCCAGCAAACGAGGACTGATTGTGTTGCCTCGCTGTTGAGATCGACTTTGAATAAGGCTGCCCAAGGGTGCCGCAGGTAGGAGGGAACACAGGGTCTGCGCAAGTGATATTCAGATTGTAATGCATTTGCTAAGTGTCCGCTAGTGCCCGATGGTTTGCCCTCCAGACGTCCAGCAAATCCAACGAGTAACAGGGTGGGATCCTGGAGCAACGGCGATGCGCAATGATGGGATTTTGAAATTGTGTGCTCCAGTTATCGAGTTCCTGTTAACCCGCAGTTAAAGTGGGGTTTCGAAAATAATTATCGTGTTGGGACGCTTACGTCCGTAATTGAAATCAATTCTCAATTTCTCAAGAATTCACGGACGTTGAGCGGGGTGGCGAACGATAGCTTCATGGTGAGATTATACAGTGTGTGCTGCGGGGCTGCCATCCAGAGGCTTTCTTCGCTCTTGACATGGGTAAATTGCGGACATGGCTGAAGGGGTAGGCAAGGCACTAAATTCAGTCGGGGCATCGGCCGGTCTGGGTCCTGTAATCTGCATGGGATGTTTGGGGAGGGGGGTTTACAGCCCGCGACGGGAAATTTATGCGGGAAAGTAGATTGCCAAGAGCATGTTGCCTCCAAGCTGATTCGCAGTGCTTAAGCATTCCCCGAATCCGGTGAACTCCACGATCTTTCTGAAGCCCGGTTACCAGAAAACTTGGGAGAGGCGCGTCGGTATATAGCATCTAGGTGGATGAATCGACATCCCGAGTTAAGAGGGCAGAGAGAAGTGACCCCAGAACCGCAAGCAATTTTTTCTGTTCCATCGCCAATTGAAGACAATTTCTCGAGTGGGACAGAGTCCAGGTCACCGTGACGCTACTTCGAAAATATCCAGGCCGAGACGCTAGTGAAAATCGTTTAACAAGGTATGTCCTTACCAGACTATAAACGTTCCAAGTTCAAGTTGTTAGGCGGCTGACTCGAAGTCCCAGTCTCCCAGAGTCGCGACTCGACCGTTGTGAGCGTCGTTTGAGTTTGTGAACAGTGGCTTAGAGGAGAACAAAATCAGACATCTTGTGGTGTGCTTTATTGGCACCATGGTCGACGAGACGGGCGCTGACATGGACGAAGCAAAGGTTGGTTGAGAGCAAGTCGAAAGCAAACACTGGTATTTGGTCTTGTTATCATCGCCTGGTCTTACATAACCACCCCTCCTCCTCAGCTTCAACTCTTCATGAAAGTGGATGGCCGGCGAGCGGCGGGGCACAAACAGATAAGAAGCTAGTAATTACTATGATATCTATCAGCAGTCGTTAACTATTGTTAAAAAAAAACAAGCAGTCAAATTCAAACAAAATCCAAGCTACTCCGAGTCTTTAGTCGTAACTTGACTGTATTAATTTGGCAAACGACCGAACAACATGGTTTTCAGTAATTTTTGCACACAGATCCAGTTTTTTGTGTTTATGTTGACTCCTTGAATTTTACAGTGATTTTATCTGCTATGTATGAGAATCTACAAGGGCTCGGGTTGAGTGCTTTACGTAGGCATCAAAACTTGAGAGGCACGAGGACATGATCCCATCATGACAGTTTTAGATAAGCCGAATCGTTACATTTTAGGGTCCTAGACACAAACAAGAACTAAAGTTCTGTTTGTGAACCAGCTTCGCCCTTGACAAATGGATCTCGGATCGAATTTCGCGGCCAAACTGGAGCCGTTTATGCTAATGGCAAAGTCGCTGAAAGGCGCAGCGGCGGCGAAGCTGATCGCGGACGCCACTAGCGCGCCGGGCGTCTTTGTCTTCGCGGAGCTGCTGGAGCTTCCCCAATATCCAGGAGGTGCGTCCCTTCCATCTACTGGGTACATCTCACTGCTGACTGTGACTACAGTTGAGCAAGCACGAGACGCATTCAAAGTCGCTTGCGCTACTGGAGCTGTTTGCGTACCGCACGTACGAGGATTATATGCGTGCGTTCCGCTTTTCTCTGCTCGGAGTATGTATATGTGCTGACAACTACCACAGAAAATAAGGACGGCTTCCCGCCGCTGAATGCCCCTCAAACTGCAAAACTAAAGCACCTGTCCATCGTTTCCCTCGCCTCGCAGCGTCGCGTGCGTCTCTCCCGCGCTTTTCTTTCTCCAGCTTTACGGTGGGTTTAACCCCACGCTCACCGGACATTTTAGATCCTCCCATACGCCGACCTTCTCGCGTGCTCGACATGCCGAACGTGCGCGAGCTCGAGGACCTCATCATCGACGCGATCTACCTCGACATCCTGCGCGGGCGGCTCGACCAAAAGCAGGCGCAGCTCGAGGTGGAGTACACCATGGGACGCGACCTAGCCCCGGGTGCGGTCGACGCGGTGCTCGCTGCGCTGCGGGACTGGTGTGTCATTGTCGTCTCCCCTTTGTTTACCTGTCAACTAATGACGATCCGTGCACAGGGCGTCTACCACCGCGTCCGTGCTCTCTACTCTAGACGCCAAGCTCGCCTCGGTCGCCGCGCAGACCGCGTCCCGCAAGGAACGCCTCGCAGCGCACGACGCCGCTCTCCAGACCGTGCTGCTCGCTGCCTCGAAGGACAAGACCAACACGCGGGGGGACGGCACGGGATGGGTGAGGCGCCGCTCCATCTCGTTTACTCCTCCTTCTGATTAACGAATGCGCTTTCAGGCATGTACGGCGGGAACGTCCAGCACGGTGGCGACGCCATGGACGTGGACGAGCCGCAGGGGCTCGTGGACCGGCTGCTGAGCCGGGGGGAGCAGGAGAACGTCAAGGGGAAGGGAAGGAAGTGCGTATTATTCGTTCATTTGCTTTGTACCGTTGGCTAATCACCACTCGTGTAGACCCACCGCTATGGAGTCAAGTAAGCCGCAACGGAAGCGGAACCGGTTCTAGCGACGACGTAGTTTTCTTCTTGCCGCTTTCTTATCGCAGTGTATGAATAGAACCAATTTTCAGTATGCTGATGATGAGGCTGAGCCCAAGCAAAGCGGACGTGTTGATATCATATCTGTAAGTATTAGTATACTCTCAATGGGACCCCGTTATACGAGGTACGTATCACATTAGTTTCTATACGATTCGACTTAACTCGACTTTCTAGGTGGTGTTCTGTGGGGTGCCCCACGCCGCGCAGTCGCAGGCCCTCACTTGGTTCACAGCATGTGCATGACCCTGACGACCATGAGTCCAGCGTAAGTCTCGCATAGCACAATGGGGCCTCCACAGGTGCAACCAACGAAATTTTCACGGCGTACGGAGTAGATACCAACGTATGGAGCGGCCATGTGGAGAAGCGGGTTTATGTACCGACTGAAGCAACAATAAAGGCGCAGGCGGCGCCGGACCCTGCTGCTCGCGCTCTGTCCCCGCGTCTCTCCTAGGATCCTTGGCGGCGACCTTAATCCAGCTTCCCCGGCTCGGCTTGTACTCCTCCACTTCTGGCTCCCTCGAAATCCCTCCAATCGACTGCTCGGATTTCGAAGAGCGTTGCTGTTACGACCAGCGACTCGTTGGGTACTCTCAGGCATATTTGCCGCATACTGCATAAAGGGTGAAGCAGGCTCAGAAATCACTGGACTTATGGACACAGTGGGCTAGCCTCCCTCAGTGAGCGCACCGCCATCCCGTCGCTCTCCCTCAGTAACGCCAGCGCGGCGTTCCTCCTCGGCATCCGCTGACCCCGATACCGCGAAGCACAAGCAGCAGGGCGTGTGCACAACGGGCAACCCCACCACCGTCAATGGGAGCAGCGAGAGCTGTTTGCGTCCGATTCGGCCGCACAGCAGGGCCCGTTCGCCATCGTGCACTACCTGCAGGATAAGCAGTGGCGTGAGCGGCGAGCCGGTATTTATGAGCCGCCTGAGTCTGCCGCTGCCTCACTCACGTGTGGGTGCGCGTGCGGACGGTGTGCCCGCCTCCGACAGGCGGCAACGTGATGTTCTCGTGGCGGTCGTATTCCGCTGCTACGCGCACGGCGGTCTCCGTTCTGGTTGCTCATTCTCCATCCGAATGTTTTCTATCGTGGGTTTAGTGAGTATACATACATATTATATAGAGGGCGGGTAGAGTATTAGTACCACAATGTACTGATTCAAAGTGCTACAATTCGTATTCGTGGAGTGAGCAGATAGATGGGAGACGAAGAGCGAAGACCAGAACGAATGGGAAGAAAGGAAGAATGAGAGAGCAGTGTCAATGCGAATTGGTCGCTCCAAGTCGAGGAGTTAAACTATTCGTTTCAGCTGCTCGACCCGACTTCGCCCCACGCTTTTTCCTCGTCTCTTCGGCGGGCAACGCTTTCTTTAGCGGCCGTTGTCGAAGGTTGTGAGAAGAGGTGCTGGGCACAGGAGACTTCTCCTTTGCCTTACCCTTCTTCCTCCTCTCGTCAGCAGGCAGCGCCTTCGGCGACCGTGCTCGCAGGTCGTAAGGAGAGGCAGTGGGGGCAGGAGGCCGGGGGGCGTCGTGGATCGAGGAGCCGCCGACTTTCCCTTTTCGT